GGGCCATTCCCCATTTTATAGAGATTTTCCCCCTCTGAAACATCCATCCAACTGATGTTGGGGAAAATGAGCAGTGATTAATCTAGCTACTTCTAGCTGAGTGAAGGCACTGTCAGGGGGCAGTGAATGGAAGTCTTTAGCAGTGAGGGTGGTCTGATCCTCAGCAGAAAACAGTCTGGCACCTTTACCATGGGTTATCTGTATGATCACTTGGAGTTTGACAGCCTCTAGGTAAGAATAAACAAACTTTACCAAGAGATTAAAGTACACATGATTGAAGCATGAGCACTAGAATGGAAAGCCAGTTGGGGAAAGAGCCATGTCTAGATATTGTCCTTAGGGGATTGGAGTAGCAATTGCACCCAGCTGGCTCTTAGACTTATGTATAGGTGTAGCTGGAAACCACCAGTGGGGGTCAGTGATTAGAGACCTCTTTTTATGTCCAGCTTATATTATTATCATTTTTATGCCTTTGATTGTATTCCTCTGCTGGATGTTTAAGACCAAGTTAAAGTGAGACCTGTGTTAATCGAGATTAACCTCTTGTTATATTTATAAATCAAGGTCAGTTAAATCTCCTCAGGTATTACTTTTGGAGCCATGAACTAAGCCTCTCAGCTCCTCTGTCAGTGTCAGCTGTCAGGATAGGTCATGGCCTTGCTTGACCATGTGACTTCTCATGGAATCACAGGACACATTTCCCTCTCTAGTGACCCTCCTTTTTAACCCACTGGTTGGTTCCTGTCCTCTGGGGACATGTTCTCTGCTCAGGAGTTTGGGTGACTCACTAGAGTTGTAGGATCCTGTAGAAAATGTCCCCTTATATCTTGAGTCCTTGTTGACTATGGAGGGCCAGGGCCAAAATATTGGCTGTCCTCTTAGCCCAATTAGTTTTCTAGCTCAATTGTTGAACACCCAGGAGGTCACTAGGTTTAATTTTATGATTTTATCTGGATATCAAGCACCTCGAAGTATACAGTATGACCAGGGAGCTGTTATTTCCTTTTATAAACTGTATCCTCTATAATCTCTTCAACATTCTTTAGCCTTCTAGTTTTTGCTGCCATCCCTTTCTTCACTTTTTTTCTTTTTTTCATCCTGGTAGGGGAAAAAACCCCATCACACAAAACCCTCTCACATCAAAAATACATCTTCATAACAAACCTTCTAGTCAGCCATCCCTATCCAATTATAGCATATTAAATGACAGAAAGAGACTTTCATTTAAATTTGTCATTCTTTGATAGAATGTTGTGAAGAAGAATGCATCTGTTCATTGATGCACCTTATGGGTTCTTAATATTAAACCTTTAAATTCTAGAGTGACACTGTCTAGAATGCACAATATTTGAACATTTTCAAGTGTTGTAACACATACATAATGTATACATCACATAAAGCCTTGAAAAAGTATCATCTGACTGGTGATCTCATGCTGTATTGACATATACATCTTATCACAAGTAACTGGCAAACAAGTAAGGGAAAGCCAGATGTTTGAGCCTAAAAGACAAGTTTATTGCCATAAGCAACCCCAGCCTGGAAATCACCAGTGTGATCAGATGTTTTTCAGTTTTGCATCCTTGAAGACCATACACTTGGAAAACATGAATACATTTAATATACCATGAAATCAGCAATAATGAGTGTCACAGCTACATAGCAATCTTTGTGCACATCTACTTAGTTTTCTATTATTTTACTCTTAAAACAAAAATTAGACTCCCTTTAATAAGTTTTACAGTGTGTTACTACATGGGCAAGAATCAAAAGACACCCTTAAAGCTCCTGTATATCCAGAAAACGGTGTTTATGTCCAACACACTATCTGGGGCAATGTCCCAGGAAGAATTTCTTTTTTCCCTACCTTTGTTTCATTAGGTATAGAATTTTTATTCCTCCTTTTTGGTTGGTCCCCTTAACTGAGTTTGTCTTAACCCCTTCTAATGGAGGTTTTATGTGCACCCTGAGAGTAAAGCCCTCTCTTTTAAACTTTAGAGATTAAATTTTTGGAAGAAGAAAAGGACTGAGTGAAAGGATCTTCTCACATCTCTGCACATCTCCCAATTCAGGAGATTTCTCAGTTCCAAGGCCAAGGTGGGGGAAGAAGGCGTCAAGGCTCTAACCTGCCCTGCCCTACAACAGCCTGTCACAAGCCCCAATCTGCTGCAGGTTTCTACCTGTGACATTTTTTATTCCTGCCTGGCCTTTAAGAAAAGGACAGGGCATCTTTTTTCTTATCAGGAGGTCCAATTGAAGCCTCTACCACCCATTCTGCCTCTCTACCACCTTCGAGATTCATCTATACTATATCTATGTATGGATGAGGGTCTAGTGTCCCCAAGAGTCTTTCTTTTCCGGGAATTGTTTCCAGTAATAGTGACACTTAGCCTCCTCCACTGCAATGGGGGTTTTTTGTGCACCCTGATTTTTTTCTCTGTGCATTTAACCCCCATCTAGGGTACATCTCAGCCATACATTTGACTTCTGAAAATGTTTTGACCATGAATAGAATCATTACTCAATGTACAAGTGTGACTGATCTATAAAACAAAATGCCCCTTTAATCAAAGCTCTTAAAGCTCAGTATAAGTAAACAAGGGCTTATGGAAGAAAACATGAGAAACCATCCTAGTAGAATACAGAACTTTTTCTTTTTTTTTTGTACCAGGGATTGAACTCAGGACCTTGTGCTTCAGAAGTTTTTCTTTTTAATATAGTTTTGTAAATTTAACCAAGGGCATCCTTTAAAAAGAAAACCTCGTTATTTTATTTATAAAGATCTTAACCTTTTTGTGACAGCCAATGAGAGTATATTACAATAATATATTTGGCAATGTTTGTTGGGGTATGTCTCCCATAAGACTATGGAAACTACTGGGGGTTCCATCAGTGAATAAAAACTGAAATAAATTTGATTTCAGGCAGCTGCTCTTTTATTCACCAAATTTAGTCTTGTTCAGCAGTTTTCTCAAGCCCAAGGGGGTCCCCACTCAGTAATCTTAACAATTTTTCCAGATGACTTATGAGAGCTAGATTATGACAGTTAACGCATTATTTTTGACCAATGAAAGATTCTTAAGTTATTGTATACAGACAACAACAAGCATTGTATTTATAAAACCAATTTTTGGTATCATTTTGATTGGCTGACAACCTGGGTAGAAGCATGTTCTTATCTATTTATAAGCCATTTTAAATTATATTTTGTTGTTGTTGTTACTGTTGTTGTTTTTTGAGACAAGGTCTTGCTCTGTAGTTCATGCTGGCCTTGAATTCACTATGCATCACTGGCTGGCCTTGAACTTTTGATCCTCTTGCCTTAGCCTTTTGAGTGCTGGTTTTACAGGCATGCACAACCATGCCTGGCAAGCCAACTTAAATTGTAGACCTGAATGTTTTAATAAGTTTTTAAAGAAACCCTAAAAACAATTCTCAATGAAAATCTCAAAAAGAGCCCCGCCCCCCCCCAATGTTGTTGAGCTCAAACAAAGCAGCTGCGGGTGCTGTAACCAGTTATTAGCAGAGATTGAACAGACAGACAAGCACCCATAAAACAATTGCTTTTAAACCAGAGTGCACTCAGATATACAGGCCATGGCATCTTTTATGACTAATCAGGCAAAAACTATTATTTTAGTTCATGACATAACCCATGTATGGGACCATCACCACCCGTCTCTCTGTTCCCTCCCCCTGAGTCACAGGGTCAGATGAGCAGTGGTGGCTGCAGCTTCACTCAGCTGCAAGTGAAGGAAAAATGGGAATGTGAAGGCCTCTCTGGCTGTGGCTGCTGCCACGGCTGGCTCTGCTTCTGCTGTCACCTCTGCCACCACAGAGGTCAACACCGAATCTGAGCAATGAATTTGATTTAGTTCTCATCCAATTCAGTTTATGACCAGAATCATGGAAATTAAGTTCATGAACCAAGGTACATATAATATATATGCTGTCTTTTAAGTGGCTGCTCTTGTCTCCTTTGTAAGGTGGGGAGGGTTGGCTAGGCTAACTTGGTTAGGGTGCCTGCCTGGTTTATCAGCTTTCTCTTGCCTTGTTGATTTCTCCCTCAGTAAAGTTTTGACTCTTTCTGGTCAGGATTAGCTAAAAAGTCCAATGAGGTCTTTTCCTGTTTTATAGGTCCCTTTCCCCTACATAGGCATGGGCTGTTATTTGAGACATGAGAGGGAACAATGAGGCACTTTTGGGTGAGAAGGGAGACAAACTTGTGGAAAAATGATGGGCATAAGTAAGCAGGAGCTAGCCAGGTGGGGGTGAGGGGTGGGCTGGCATGTGTAGTGGGCACAAATGGAGGGCCTGTAAGTACCAGCTTCTGCAAGCTTCTATGACAGCTTCCTGTGGTGGGGCTGCACCAAGCTGGGTCTTGTTTCCTACTGGCACAGTGTGGGGTTTCCCTGGTAGAAGGAGGAGAGGAGGGCAATTAGGATGGGGCAGAGAGCTTTAAATTTCTGAGAAAGGAACTCTTTTTCCACCTCTCATTTTGATGCAAAGAGTTCTCCATAAAATGTCTTCATAAAAGACAGCCTGGCTCCCATTCACAAGGGAGTGTTGCTGAAGGTCCTCTTTGCTCAATTCTCTTTATACATACCTAATGCTTACTCACTTGGTCAAATTCTCTGAAATTCCAGATTATTCCTTTTGGGATAACCTGTCTAGAAAAAGAAATAAAAGCCTTTGGGGGCTTCCTGTCTAAGCAGTCTGCTTTGCCATTTAACCAGATATCTCTCCTAAGAAAACACTGGTAGTGGCAGAGGTCTCTGACATGGAAAGTGTTTTATTTAATGTGGTGGAGTCTGATGACTCCACTGTTCTTTCAGACTGCTTCATGAAGAGTGTGACATTGTAACCAGCACAGCAAAATAGAATTTTAAAAGTTAGATTTTTTTCTTGTAGAGGTAATTAATTTCTCCAAACTTCCTCCTGCCAAGAACATAACCAATACCCCCTCCTCTTCTCTGACCTAAAGCAGTGATGGAATACAGTATGCAGAAGCCAGCACCAGGAGGAAGGAGCCCAATTTCCTCTCCACAAGAAAGGAATCAGTGAGATGAAGATAGCTGGAAGTGATAAAGCAAGCCTGCTCTCTCTGTGTGGCCCTCTTCCCTCTGCTCCTCACTTTCTACCCACCTGTGCACAGGGAGGTGGTTTGAGGCAAATGGGCCACTCTGTCTCCTTGGAGGTGAGCATTAAGTGTTTATAACCTAAGTGGCCAGTAACAAACATGAGAGCTTTCAGAGCAGTCATACTTCCTCACACTTACACCACAGCCTGTGTTTCTCTGTGAACTTTAACAATCTAGGCAGAGAAGATTCTGTCACTGCCCTTTGAGAAGAGGAAGCAGAGAGAGAAGGGATTGCAGACTTGACTTCCCACCACATGCTAGCCAGTGTTGGTAGAAGTGGGAAGGAACTATGTTTTCTGGCTCCTAGAATGATCTCTAAGCCTCTGGCCACTGACACTGCCTTTCAGAAGTGGTGCTTGTGATTGTGATGTGTGATCATGCAGGGGTTATGTCGTGTTCTGCTCTGTTTACAAAAGTGTGATTCTAGTTCCATATTTATTTATGCTTATCACTGTTAAAATATTTAAAAGAGAGTGATACAAACTTTATAAGAATGGTTGCAATGAAAAATTTTGATTCTTAGGGATATAAGGTCCAACTGTTGAGTACTTTTTTTATGTGGAATAGCTTGCAAATGTTTAGGCATGATGACAGAGCATGTGTTTTGGGCCTTGTAGAAGGAACAGTGATTAAACAGGTTTCTGACAGTTTCATCCACCTGGTAATCTACTCAAAGCCAGGTCCTTAGCTCTCAGGGCTTGGGAAGCCTATATGGTAGAGCTCCCGAGGTTGGCTTGGACTTAGCTCATAGGAGGGACTGGCACCACAGAGATGCTAATTTAATGATGCATTGTAAGGACTGCAATCACCAGATCTTCTCATCTCTCTGATGTCCACATTTTCTTCTTGTAGTTAAGTTATAAATGAGTCTTAAAGGGTATGTCTGATTTGGTGTATATGAACTTCAGGGAGTGTGAGGCCTTCCCTGCTTCTTGAGGCTAAGCTTGCCAGTCAAATAAAACACACTTTACAGAGTCAGCATCTACCCAGGAGATGGTGCATAGGGTTACCAGTAGTCATCCTGTTGTCTAAATCTTGAATGGCCATTGGGATGTTTGCAGAAGAATCAGGAATAACACACAACACTTAGCTTTTACAATTATGCAAGTTCCTCCTTGTGCTGCTGTTAGGACGTCTAAGGCCTGGGTCTCCTTAAAGCTGGTAAAGGGGCCTGGGCTTTTCAGCATATCCTGGAATCCAAATTCTGCAAAAACCCATTACCCCTAGAAAGGCTCTCAGCTGTCTGACATGTTTTGGCAAAGCGAAGTGCAGAATGGGTTGGTTTCTCTCTGAATTTAGTTTCCTTTTGCCCTCAGAAATGAGCAGCCCTAAATAAGTGACCTGGGACTGACAGATTTGGGCCTTCTTCTGGGACACTTTATAACTTTAGGAGGCTAGAAAGATGAAAAAAAATTTTTTTCATTAAGTTTATTGGTACATTTTAGGTATACAATACATTTACATTTATCATTGGGTGCTTGTACCTGTACATGATGTATCTTGGTTCTTATTTTTTCCCCA